CAATCCCACATGTACGAAGGCATGTCCACAGACTGTTGCGTGGGATCCGGTCATACGCTTTCTCTAGGTCAACAAAACATATGTACACCGGCTGGGCGTACTCCCACGATTTCTCAACAATCTAGCGCAGGGCAAATATTTTGGTAGAGGTGTTTCGACCGGGCCGCAAGCCACACTGCACTTCTCTCTTGGAGTTACTTATTCTGTGGTCTCTCCTTTCTAGCACGTAGACTTTTTCCGAGATGCTCAGTAAGGTAATTCCCAGATAATTGATGCACTTCGTTATTAAGTCCACATGTGTCTTTTCCGTAGACATTGCAGTTTGAAAGACAAGTGAGATCCAACACTCGCCTTGTTCGCCTATTGCTTTGAGGATTTCATGACGTATTTCACCAATTCCAGCAGTCTTTCAACTCTTTAAACAGTTTATTTGATTTCATCTACATTCTACTGCCCAAAGCAGTAATTTTTATTTCACCTTTCCGGGCCAAGAAACGTCTGCATCATTGCTGGAAAGACTCAGAACTGCTCCCTTCTGTGAAAAGGGTGAGGATGCGCTGTGAACCTTCTAAGTGTGTAATTTGGTGGCATGGCGAGGAAGATTTTACAACCCTTCCCTCCCTCCAAATTCTTACGACTTTCTGCAAAGGCGAAAAATGATGTTTCGAACTGAAGCTAGCTTTCGCTCTGGCCAAAATGTGATGACCAGTTATTTTCGATTCGCAGAATCCGTGAACATCTCTCCGCTGTAGAACAACCAACTGCTTATGTTTGTGGTCCTTGCAGCGACTGTTCCATACAGATTCACAGGGGATCATCATCAGGCCTGATGAGTCCTGCCAAATCTAATTCGTTTATCAGTCGTACCAGTTGGACTCGAGCAAAATTTCAGGACAAGTATAGAGGGGTTCCCTGATAAATGCCCTGGAGTTCACCAAAGTTGCGTCCTTTTAGAAAATCTGTTCAATTTTGTCCTCGATTCCATTCATTCCGCAGAACTCGTTGGAAACGACGATGTTGAGGTCAGGGCGTGTTTCCTTACACTGACTTCGGTTACGCACACCATATCGCTCTCTTAATATTTAATTATGAAGTAACTCAAAGAATCCTTCATGTTATAAACAGATTGACATCGATCTAGAGTGGTTTTATAAGATGAACAGAAAAGACCAATTCGCGTTGTTGACAGCTTTATTCTAGTGTTGTCTTGCTTACTGTGGTCTTAGTAGTTCTTTGCGGCTCTAGGATACTTCCGATGTGTTGGAAAATAGTGGCGCCGGTTCTCGTCTTGGTTTCTGCGGTTGCGATATGATATTACAGATTAGGAGATCCTGATGCATCAGTTTCCCCTTTCTTTCGTATACCATCCTCATTACACTCAGTAGTCAACTTTTGACTTGTATTTCAATGTCCATGCGTGGTGACTTTTATACCTGCAGAAGAATAGGGCTAATAACCACCGTAGGTGCGTTAGCTGTTCTACGCGTTTTTATTCCAGCGCTGCTTATAGATGGCGAACGTCTTGACCAGTAAGGAACGACCCTATACATATTGGGGTCTATGGCACTATTGGCAAAATGTACATCTATTGTTAAACGACTTGGAAACCTATATCATCTTAACTTGTTTGAGATTCCCAGCTTTGAATTAAGAAGATGTGCGATAGCATTATACTTATGTTGAATCTTCTAGAAAGCAGTCAACAAAGGTGTTGTGGATCGTTTGACCGATGTTTCAAAATACACTGGATCGAGCAGGGAAAGATTCGATCAAAGTGGCAAAGGCAAGGGCAAAGCTGGAAGGGAAGATATCAAAGATGATTCAGGCTATGTTGCTAGCTACAAAAACAAAGGAACGTATGATCATACGCACAAAAATGCCTGAACATCTGATTTGTTGCCACCATTACGGTCTGGAAATGGATCAAGACAACGTTAATACCTGACCTGAAAGATTATAACGATCAGAAAAACTGCTGCCACATTCAATTTGTATTTGTGTGACATGTGCTTTTGTGTTTTTTAGTTTTTTTGTACGTCGCTGTTTTGGAGGTACGAGAAAGCCTATACTTGTATGCTACGCATTTAACAAACACGTATGTTAAAGTTCTATACTGTTGTTTCCTACCGTTGTATGTTGTTTAAGAAGCGACGAAATACTATCTTGCTGTTCGATCCTTCTCTCAGAGTTTTTTTGGTCAACGACCATGCCACAGACGCAAATCGGTGTTGTACCCTTTGCTTGCGCCGTTGACCAAACAACTTCCTCATGGGTGATCCGTGCTTGTTGGCAGACTACCGAATGGACATCCGATGGATGCTAAGGAGATCCAATTATGGACTCAGGATATCCAGCTGTTGCCTTTAAGATGAGCCACATCACCGCACCATCGTGCCTGAGAGTTGTACGAAGCAGTGAGTACATCCAGGAATTGTGTATGATGCCGAACTCTCGCACCTGGAACATCGAGAGTTTGAATAATGCATTTTCCATCGCCCTTTCCGTTATTAACAGGTTTCCTTTCTTCAGCCTTGATGGCAGATCAGCAGTCTGCGTAGTACATCATAGCCGTTACGACGGTCGGGTCGAACGGTTTTTTTTCGTGGACTTGACCAGTTCTTTATCCGGAAGCGATGTTCTGATGCGTTAAAAATTGTCCATGTCACCTTCTTTCTTCAATTGATCTCTCTGATGACATTATTAGCGTCTATTAGGTAGGTGAGGTAAAAGTAGCTAGCTACTTTGTACACTTCTTACTTGTCAGTGATGATGTTACCCGCGCAGCAATGCTCATTGCACTTCAATTTCGTCTTGCAAGTGTTCATCTCCAGACCGCTGTCGCATTCCTCTTTCCGCACCTGCACAATCTTTGTTTGGAGTTTCATCGGGTCTTTAACGAAGATGATGACGTTTTCTGCAAAGAGCTGGTAAGTTAGCTGTTCTCCGTCGATGGTAATTCCCTCGCTCCCAGTCCATACGATTAAAGAGCCGTTCCTGCGCCTTCATGAAATTCTTAGCAGAAACTCTGTCTGCATTACGTATTCCTTCTCTGACGTCGAATCGACAGGATTCTTCGAACGCTCGATGTTATTTGCTCTAGTAATATTCAGTCTCTCCATTGATGTTGATGTTTAATAAGGCGTTCAACACAGTGTTCAGCTCAGTGGAATCGAACGCTTTCCTGAAGTCGATGGATGCATAGCAGAGGAGGAATTGGCGTTCTTTACACTTCTCTCTTAATCGCCTCATGACGTGCATATGATCAATGCCGGCGAATGTGAATGAGGATGTGACCCGCGGTGTAATGCTCACTACGCTTCCAGGTTCATCGATCCATTTCGTCTTACAAATGTTAATATGACACTTTACCCCTTCCGCACCTGCAAAATTTTTGTTTGGAGTTCCCTGATATACTGATACCTGAAAACCTTATCAGAAACCTTTATTTTTTCAACCAGGAAGTATACTGGTAGGGGTACATTAATTTTTAATTATCAACTGTAATTATGAAGTGTCCAATTATTTTAAGCCCAGATTCTGAAAACAAGCTGCGATTGCTTGGGTAAGTGTTGCGAATGCCTCCAGAAAGGAAGGCTAAGCAACTGTTCCTTGCAAATCCAACCGGCAAAAGGCCCAGGGGACGGTCAAGATTATCCTGGTGCAAATATATGGAAGGAGTCTGTTCCAGACTCCAGTTGTCTTTTGCCGAAGCTCAGACTCTGGCACAGAATCGGGAACGTTGGAAGCAATGTCTGACGCGTCTGCCTCCGCGACCAGAAAGGAGAAGCGGCGATGGAAGATGGAGATAAAGATTCTGAAAACAATCTCGCTTTTCATATTTCATAATCAACCAAATGTTGATAGTAAGGTAACTGGCGGCAAGATTGAGAATTAAAATTTCACCCATTTATTGGTGTACATTTCTCGAAATTTTTTTGTTCATGAAAAATAGACGGCATTAATGGCGTATTTTTCAAAGATCTACACAGCATATATGGAAGAGTCTGTTTACGGCAAGAAATCCATTTTGCATCAGCAAGAAATGTCTAGAATCAATATAGCATATAAAAATCAGGTGCAATATCGCTAATTTTAAGTTTTTTCTTCCTCAGCTTCCTG